TAGCTTTAGCTTGCATGCCTTTTCTGATGCGGATTATGGAGGATGTAAATTAGATAGGAAAAACACCTCCGGTACTTGCCAATTCCTTGGAAATATACTGATTTCTTGGTTTTCAAAGAAACAAAATTTTATTACATTATCTACCACTGAAGCCGAATACATTTCAGCTAGTAGTTGTTATGCACAAGTTTTATGGATGAAACAACAATTTTTTTATTATGGAATTGAAGTAGGTACTATTCCTATCAAGTATGACAATACTAGTGCTATTTGTCTCACTAAAAATCCCATCCAACACTCTAGAACTAAGCACATTGAAATAAGACATCACTTCATTAGAGACCATGTCGCTAAGGATGATGTAGTTTTAGAATTTGTTGATACTTTGCACCAATTAGCGGATATCTTTACAAAACCTTTAGATAATGAAAGATTTTGGACACTTAGGAGAGAATTAGGTTTAACAGACCTATCTTCACTTAGTGTTTAAAATATTTTTTAGCACTTTTAAGAATAAATAAAAAATGCTTATAATGGTAATTTTTTATTGCATTCATTGCTATTAGTTAGGGGGAGTTTATGATTATTAGTGAAAATTATTTGTTTGTTCAAATGATGTTTAATGACAAATTTGATTGTTTGAACATAATTAATTTTTGAAATATGAGTTGCCAATACCAGTAGGATTAATTATTTTAGCACTATTGGATGTTTAAAATACATATTTTTTAAATATTTGGCAGAGGGAATCGATACCCCTATAAGGGAACCGATTCCCCCTTTGAATGGGAACCGATTCTACCCCCATAAGGGAACCGATTCCCCCTTTGAATGGGAATCGATTCCCCCTGTAGGGGAATTGATACCCCCATAGGGTTCTGGTTTTAACACGGGCAGAACCCAATATTTGCTCAAACCCTATCTTCTTTCTTAAACGTCGTTCATCCTCTCTTTCTCTCTAAATTTCCATTTTTGCCAAAATCTTCAAATACAAGTCGGAATTAGATCTTTCTTCAACTTCTAATCCTTGCAAACAACATCACATTCTCATAAAATCCAAATTTTCAAGGTAATATTTCAAAATCCTCTATTTCATTGATTTTTGAACCTAGGACTAGTTTTGATTAGTTCTAAGATGAACATTACATCGGGCATTGGTTATATGATGATTTTACAACCAATATTTTCACAATAGTTTTTCAAAACATTGCCCTTTAGAATTCGTTTTAGAGAAACTTGAAATATTGAGGACTCATTTGAGTTTTGGGTTTGATTATATTGCATACATGTGTTTAAATTTGCAGGTTACATATTCTATTCCGATTCTTAAACTATGTCGAATCCTAAACGACCTAAGACATTGTCTAGTCACTCAAGTCAAAACCGACCTCTTATTCCTCCACCCAATCCAAATAACCCAAATATGACCATTCTGAACTATTGTTTCACGTACCTGGTCGTAGACAAGATCTATATCATAGGTACCATACTTGTTTTGAGTCATATAAAATCCGGGAAGAACGTATCCCTTCGATTCAAGCTATAGAAGATATGGAATTCCAATATCTTCTTACTCTTAAATCCTATAAGTTTTATAAACTTTTTAAACTCAAACCTTTGGTTTATCATCAATTAGTCCGCATTTTTCTATTCTAATGGGGTATGTGTTCAAAACGAGCGTCGATATGAAATTATAGGAATTCGATCCTATCTTTTAGGACAATTCATTTTTATTGACTCCGGTATAATCGCTACCCATTTTGGACTAGATAACTCAGGTTTAATGAAAAGAGACTATGGATTCACCCTATAAGTCTAAGGATAATGAGAGTACCCTAAGAACTTATCGTGATAGATTCCTTCATTACATGATCTCTTGGTGGTTTAGACCATCCGAAGGTAGGTACTCCTCTCTTAGGAACATAGATATATGGTGGATATATTGTATCCAACATAAAAAGAAGAATTAATCTGCCACATATCATCTTTAGTGAGTTTCCATAAACATTATTCCTTCCAAGAATATAGAAACCTTGGTTTATGGTCGTCTCCTTAGTAATTTGTTTATCAAACTCGGTCTTAGGGTCTCTTCTGATATTCCTATCACTCTTCAAAACCAAATCAATCTTATTTCCTTGACGAAAGCAAGATGGAAAAAGGATAAGGAAACGGGCCAATGGATTTATCATCCCGAACTCAAAACTTTGAATTGTGAAACATTTTGATGTTCATGGATTGTTTTATTTTGGATGTTTGAATTTGATGGATAATTGGATATTTGAACTTACATGCTTATATATTTGGTTTGGTTTTAACTTTCATTTTGAGCTTAATGTTTATTTTTGCATCATTTACATATTAGTTGCATTATGACCAATTTTTGTCATTTCACATTATTTATGAATATTGAATTATGGAACTAATGGCTAACGTTTCTCTTGATTGTGATCTTAGCAGCTTAAGCTATATATATTTATCATCAATTGGCTAAATGATTTCAAAACCTTGTTTTAAAAGTCTTTTTGATTTAACAAAAAGGGGGAGAAATATTAAAGTGTTTTAAAGGGGAGAAGAGTTAGAGTAAGGGGGAGTAATTTCAAAACTTGATTTCAAAATCTTAAAATTACTAAAATGTTTTGTTATATCAAAAAGGGGGAGATTGTTGAAAACATTTTGATATTTCGATATAACAAATTAAGATAAATGAATTTTAAGATTTTCCAAAAAGATTTTCTAAGTATATTCGATATAATTATTCGAATATCAAAATATTACTCCAAATCTTTCAAATGTCATTTTTAATCCTTACTCAAGTGTAAAATTAAGATTTAAACTTAAAATAATTTCAAAATAATTTTACAAAATATTTCGAACAATTTCAAAGCCAAAAATTCCAGATTGCTCGGAGGGAACCGATTCCCCCCCAAGGGGGTACCGATTCCCCCTGAATGGTTTGGCTCCGAGAATTCCAGTATGCTCGGAGGGAACTGATTCCCCCCAGGGGGTACCGATTCCCCCCTGTTTAACGATCGAAATATTTAAATTTTACACTTAGGGAACCGATTCCCCCCACGCTCCAAGCAGAAATATTAATTGTTTTCACACTTAAACGGCTCCAATAACTTCATTAATGATCCCCAATGTTCAGAAGTTATTCAAGGTGTATTTAAACAAGTTCTGAAGCCTTTGATCAAAAAATATATATATAGAGAAACAAGAGAGAAAGCATCAAACACCAAGTTTGTGCAAATCAAGCCAATTTTTCTTTCAATATTCATTTTGCTTTCAAGAACACCATTTGTGCTCATTTGTATTTATTTTTGAGTGTTCTTTTCTTGTTCTAGAATTGTGCAAACAATCTACCTTGTGAGGATTTCCTTGTAAGTTTGCAAATTTGTATTGTTCTCTTTGGGAGAGAGTGTTCTCAAGAATTTGGGGTATAATTCTTGAGGGTTTGTAAGATTACTCTTTGTCCTCAAAAGAAAGACAAATTAGTGAACTTGTGGAAAATCCTTAGTGTGGATAGCTAAGGTAGTGGACGTAGACTTTGTTTGAGAAAGTCGAACCACTCTAAATCGTTATGCAATTACTTTGAATTTTCTGCAAAAGCTTCCACCAAATTTTTAATTGCCAATTCACCCCCTCTTGGCTGATTCCGTCAATCGATTAACTCAACAAAATATAATTAATTGAAGCATCAAGATGATGGGAAGAGCACATAATAAGGGAATGATAGGGAGAGCACCGATGAAAAGGAGGGAGAATGCAGTGGGGTGGGGTGTTGGAATTTTATAGTTTTTTTTAATTTAAAAAAATTTAAAAAAATTCTCAGAATTATCAGAACATTACACGTGTCATTTAACGGGGTTTTTAACAACGATTAACGATCGAGCACCTAAAATGGCAACAAAGTAAATGTTAGACACCTAAAATGGCAACGGAGAAAACGTTAGACACCTATTCGAGAAAAAATGTATAGTTTGGTCACTTATTTTAACATTAAACCTTATTTATTTTATTAAGGCTTAAAACCAAAATAAGTACCCAAACTATACCTCTTTTCCTAAATAGGTGCCTAAACTATTTTTTGACTCATTCTGGTGCCTAACGTTACAAACATTACCCATTTAAGTCCCCAGGCCGTCAACAGTGTTAATTCATTCGTTAAGTGACATGTGTCATAACCTGGTAATTTTAAGAATTTTATTTAAAACTAAAAAATATTAAAATTATATATATATATAAGAAAACACAAATTTTGAAATAAATTTAAAACTTTGAAAACATTCATTTCAACCCCTAAACCCAAGCCGATCATCGCCTTTTACCGTCGACGAAGCTCCACCCGACCTCCCCTCCCCCGAGGACCAAAACCCCTATGAAATCGTCATCGATCGATGGTCGATCAAAAATGAATCAACATTTTACACTTCATAAACCCTATAATGAAAATCACGATCATAAGCGATTCCGACGGCTAATTGAAGGAACTATGATGACATATGAGTAGGAGGATGATAAGGACTATACGGTGGCGGTGGTTGTAGCTGAAAAGGGCGGCGGCGGCGGATTAAAGTTAGGATTTGGGATTTTAGGGTTCTTTTATAATATAAGAAAAATTATTTTTTTTGTAAATATCATAATAGTTTTAATTTTTTAAAAATAAATTTCAAAATTACTCGATTATGACATGTGTTGCTTAACGGAGAAATTAACGTCATTGACGGCCTGGACACCTAAATGGGTAACGTTAGGCACCTGAATGAGTCAAAAAATAGTGTAGGTACCTATTTGGGAAAAACAGTATAGTTGTGCACTTATTTTGATATTAAGCCTTTTATTAAATTGTATAAAAAAGAGAGAAGAAACAGCGAAAAACTACAAAATTCAGACAGTCAATCGAAGAAGCCGCCGAATTTGTAAATCTTTAATGATCGTGACGTGGCAGCATATAATTAGAGGATGGGATGTCGCGCACGATTACTTAGCGTGGAATAAAAGCAGAAAATGAATTTCCGCTGCGGCAGCAGGGTCGCCGAAATAAAAGGACCCTTAACCTCACATCTCATCATCGGAGGAATTTTCTTTCTCTATATTTTATCACCCATTTCCTTCTCCGTCGATCTCGATCGTTATCCTCGCAAGATGGTAATATTTCAGCCGCCTATTTTTTTTTGTATTTCTAGTTCATCTTTTAATTGAATTTAAATCTTTGAATCTGTAGTTTATTACTGATGATCTTGGATCTTCACTCATTGTGTGTTTTATCGGTTGATTGATGATCTCCTTCTTCAAGCTTTCTCACTTGAAATGTTTGGAGGAAAATTTTCTTCCTTCGACTGATTTATCTGGTAGTTTTTTTTTCCGGTTTCTAAATCCTAGGGTTTCAAATCTGTAGTTTGTGCTTTGATGATGCGGTTTTTCTTGGCCCGATTTTATGTTAATGGAATTAGATGAAATGTAGCTGATCTTGATTCTAGTCTGGTTTGCAGCTTGATTCTGCTGGATTTGATTTTAATCTAGTACGTTCTGATATTTATTCTTTGGTTAGTTGATTTTCAACTGTTTTTTTTCTTTTTGATGTATTGATATGTTCATCCAATTTCTTAAACCTTTAATTTGGATTTTTCGACTGTTATTTTCTCGGCCATTGTCTTTTTAACATTGACGCTTCATTGCCAAGCCCCTGTGTATTTTATTTTTGAGTGTTTTCGAAGTAGTGTAATAATTAATACTGCTATATCCGGGGGAGACGCCATCAAACTATTTAGGGGGTCTAAATTGGTTTTTGGGGGTTGGGGTGCAAAATGTAGTTTCACTTATAATTTAATGATTTCCCATAGCTATTTACCAGGACGATGTTCTCAGCGCATAGTTTTGTTTGCCAACATAGGTGGCAGCTGAAATAGATCTGGTTAGAAGTTAGAACCTTCTGTAAAGGGTATCTGAATACGGGTTTTGTTCTTTTTTGTCATCCTCTGCTTTGGTAGGGCTATACTATGATGGTAAAGGGTATGGGAGTAGTTGATTAGCACTTGGTATGGGGTTCTCCATCCTCTATCTTCTTTATATAATGAAACATTGGGCTTGCCTCAGATATTTGATGTTCTTTTCATGTGATATTGTCGTAAGTTCAGGCCAACGCCGCATCAGGAATGGCTGTGCACGATGACTGCAAATTGAAGTTTTTGGAGCTCAAGGCAAAAAGAACCTACCGCTTCATTGTTTACAAAATTGAGGAGAAGCAGAAGCAAGTTATTGTGGAGAAGCTTGGTGAGCCAACTGAGAACTATGAGGATTTTACTAACAGTCTTCCTGCTGATGAATGTCGATATGCCGTGTATGATTTTGAATTTCTAACCCCAGAGGGTGTCCCAAAGAGCAGGATATTTTTCATTGCATGGTAATACAAGCTTCTTGATCACCTGAATTATCTCTACTGACGGGTATATTTTATGTTTGCCTTCCATACTTATTATGTTGTCTTTCAAAGGTCTCCTGATACATCAAGGGTGAGGAACAAGATGATATACGCAAGCTCCAAGGACAGATTCAAGAGAGAATTGGATGGAATTCAAGTGGAACTGCAAGCAACAGACCCGACTGAGATGGGTCTTGATGTAATCAAAAGCCGCGCTAGCTGAATATCGATCTTTCAGGCTGTGCAATGGGGGCTTCCTCTAGCTATCTTTACTTGATTGAAATGTTTATAAGTTGTGGACTGGTGAACTCGGATAATTAGGATTGTCAATTTCTGAGTTTTTCAAGATGAACCTGTGCTTCCTGGGTATGTGTTTTGTTTTCTATAGAACCTAAAAGTTGGGTGTTTTTGTGTAATGTATTCTCTTCAAGCTAATATGCAACTGTTTGGTAGGGGGTATGCAAACACTTCATTTCATTTATAAGTACTTTAAATATTGGCCCTTCCTTGCCTATTGTTTTGGGGTGTTTTAGGTTGTGCTTTCATGGTGTCCAAGTCACTGGGTTTTTGCCATTACATTACGTGTTTAGGGAGTCGATTACTGTTCTTTCGCTCAATTCCTGCATTTTATGCTATCAAACTTATACTCAATCATCAAGTGGGTACGGGGATGGATCGAGGGACGGATGGTCGTCTTCTGAAAATTTAAAATCACTGTATATTTTAGATTTTTTTATGCATTTTCTATTGAAAATCTGTCTTAAAAATTTTTAAGTATATTTTTTCCTTAAAATTTTAAAAGTTCGCATCTCTAATTTAAAATTCTACGTCTATCCTTTAGGACCTTCATCATTTCCCGGTAGATGCCCCGCTAGTACTGTGAATTCTTGAATTTAACATTGATTATGTAATAGAGTTGGTATTAATATGCATAAGTGTTTACGTCACTAATTTTGCTTTTTGTAGATAAAATCAAATTTTACTATCAATTCTCGCACATTTGAAATGACTGCATTTTGGAACCTCTTTTTTTTTGCTTTAGTTTCGAGGAATTTAGTTTTATTTTTTATTTATAAATAAAATTTGAGGAATTTGATTTTATTCATTTAAGTTAATATTAAAATTCAATTATGATATTCTTAAACATTTGTAAAATATTAAATTATTGTTATAAAATTGTGAACTTAAGAGAGAGATATAAAACACAACATGAGAGGGAACAAACTTTTCCATTGCTTATCAAGTGTACTTGTATATAGTCACAAATTTTATCAAGTGTACCTGTGTATAATCACAATTTATAAGATTTTAATTGGCATACGAGGAAGATGAAATTTATTGGATCAGGGAGATGAAATGTGAAAGGATTAGTCATAATGGATATGCACATCATTCACAATATCCTTCTTTGAATGTCCATGGTAAAATGTGTTTCATTACAATTTAACAAAAGATTGTTATGACTTGATTATATATACACGGTTTATGAGATACATACTCTCTAAAATAATTTAGAAGTACTCTAAAGCTCGACTGAATTTTTTAGACTCCCTCAATTTGGCGATAAGCCCCTCGAATTGGCACCTAAGAACTTGTTAATAGAAACAATTTCTGAACGCTAAGCTTATGAGCATAGTGCCACACAAATAACTCTACTATACTACATATGTTCACCAAATGAGTATGCTAGTAAGTATAGTCATGAACCAACGAAATGTATCAAAAATCGTAGGGGTAGTTCGGAGTTTCATAATATTGTAGTAATATCGACATATAGCTAAAGTGCCTTAGCACTAGTACTAAAGTTCCTTGGCACTAATACTAAAGTGTCTTGGAACTGATACGAAAGTGCATTAGCATTGCTACTAAAGTGTCTCAACATTGATTCGAGTACATCCGAATATTGTCACATATATGTATATTATATGATCGTCTTACATACAATTGGCTCTGGTGTTCTAATCTTTTTTCTAGTGTCAAACAAGGCATAAGTCCTATGGAATATAATGTTCTTATGCTAACCCACAATTATTTAATATTTTCACTTGTAAGCTTTTAATTTTGGGTTTCAAGCCCTTAGACGTCTCATTCGAAACCTTTAAGTAACCAAAAATTTGACCCCTTTTTAGTCATGATGGTATTGATACTCAACTTGTAGTATCAGTACTACTCATTTATGGTATCGATACTACCCCACGTATCGGTACGCAAATCACATTTGATATTTTTAAATTGACTTTTAGTATCAATACCCCTGTATGGAGTATCGATACTTCTTCCTTAAGGGTATGACACCCCTATGAATATTGGTTCCAAATTCGAATTCGATGTTTAAAAATCTCCATCCAGTATTGATACACTTACCTAGGGTATCAATATTGTCCTAGTATCAGTACTAATTTTAAATTTTGGAATTTGAAACTAACCCTTGTTATTGATACCATGCCTTTTGTATCGATGCCCTAAGAATAATATTGATACCCTATGAATAGGGTATTGATACCACTTGACCAAAATCCCGTGACTTTGACCTTTCAAACGAAGAATAGAGGACTATTCATCTAATATCTATATTCTAAACCCAAAAAACTCTGTTTTTTATGCACAAGTCACTTCAACTCATACCCAAAGTCTTCCTAAGGCCCTCAGACGTTATTTAAAGTTTATGAGAGTTTAAGGGGGTTATAATATGTTATTTCCATGCATGAGTAACATAAAGACACCCTATTTCCCTCATGAACACAAATATACTAATTATGCTTCATGTACTCGTACCAGCAAGAAATTACACATAGTGATCTGCAAGCGTTATAAAGGAGTTAGGAGTGTGTTACTTCGACTCTAGTTGTTAGAAGACACCTCAAGATCACCCAAGAACAAACTTCTTCTTACTCTTGCTTTTGGAGTTCTTTCCAACTTCTTTCACTAATCAAAAGCAAGGAAATCTATTACTAACTCACCTAAAAACTTAAAAGGAGTATAAACATGATTCTTAACCCCTATAAACAGATTGGAATCATCTTAGAGCCCTAAAATCCTAAACTTTTCTAAACCCCTACCATGACCATACCTTGAAATGGTGGACTTGAAAGGATGTTTTAGGGGAGGAGATTATCGTCCTTACCTTCACAAATCTGGTCTAGCAACGTTGACAACAAAGTTTTCACCTTTTGAAACTTACAAGAGGAAGAAAACAAGGGAAGCATGCCCTTTCCAACGTGTGACCTCACTCAAATAAAATGGAGATTAACTTTTTTTTGCAAACAAGGGTTGTTTACCTCTTTAGTCCCTCTTCATCTAGTCACAAATCAAAAACACCCCTTTTAATATCTTTTGGGCTTAAACAAAGTCCAAATCAAGCCCAACTCTTAATGATGGTATATTATATTCACTCAAAGCCCACTCAGTTCAATCTAAAACTACTATCCTGATATTCAGAGTATTACAACTCTACCATCTTAAAATGAAATTCTGTCCTCAAAATTTATCTGAATATAAAAAATACAGGTATTGCAGTTGCATAGACATACACCCATTTGAGCAACCTTCTCAATGGCCTTGTGAGCATTTTTTGTGTTTCTCTCTTTATCCCGTGCTACCGACAATTAGTAAAACCCAATCTTGAACTACAACAACAACCCAAAACAGATCAATCATCACTTTATCATACATAAAATTTAAAGCATGATTTGGTGTTTCAATGTTTCTTCTTCTTTTTATTTATAGATTTTGGGGTTACAATGTTTTTCTTGTTATTGAAATGAGTTTTTGGACTTTTAATCCCAAAAGGTATTATATATAAGTGCAAAAGTTGGATTATATTTTTTAATGTCAAACCAGACTTCTATAATTGGAATAACACAAGAGATCAAAATCGAATTTTTTAACCAATGACCCAAATCGAATAAATTAAAAAACAACCCAACAAAATCTCTTGGATTGATGGAGTAGTTTCTTGGGGTCCAACTAAATCAAAACTAAAAAAGTCCAAACATTCTTGGAGTTGGTCTCTTTCACTCCATCTTCTCCTCTGAGGTTTCAGCTCAACGAAACCCCGCCAATCCCAACCAAAAAGTAGTTGAAATTAGGTCCCCTGCCTTTTTTACTCTCATAAAAGAACCCTCCCATTTCCATAACCTCTCTTAGTCTTCCCACGATCCCAATAAAAATGATCCCATCTTTTCTCACATCACTGCTTCATAGCCTCACCTTACGGTGGCCGGTGCTCCTCTACGCCGCCACGTGGACTGTTATTCTAACGGCGATGGTGGCGGTGGCGTCGTTCTCCCCGGAAGTGGCCTTCGTCTCCGCCATATCTCAGTCGTCTTCCTTCTCTAAAGCTTGCGGGATTGAGGGGATGCTTAGAGTTCCGATGGACGTGGCGGGAGAGAGATTGTGCTTGCCGGTTCATCTCTTCGGTAAGTCCAAGATTGATTGGATTATTCCGCCGGTTTTCGCCGCTGTAGTTGTTACTGGGTCGGCTTGGGTGGTCCGTGGCATGGGCTTGTGGGAATTCGACGAGGCCAATTGATTTTCTGCTGAAATTCATAGTTTTGTTTTAATGTATTTTTTCTCTTATTTTTACTACACTTATTTATAATTAATAGAAACAATAGAGTATATTTTTTATTAAGTTAAAGTGATTATAAAGTAGTATCCGTTTTAAATACTTTCAATCATTAAAAATGAACGTTTGATCATCCTGCTACAGTCGTTGAGCTTGAATCTGCGACATCTAAGAATAACAATAACTCTTGTAATCACTGAGATAAATTAACTCATGTTAAAACAATAGAATATAATAAATGAATTGAATTGTAATTAATTAACGGATATTTCATTGCTAGGAAGTGATATTCAAGATATTTCACCTTCATGTCTGATAAATATAATTATTGTATATAATATGTTAAAATAGTGGTATTATATCAATAATAATGTTAATAGTTTATAAAACAATTAAATTTAGTTTTAGTATCATATTACAGTTTATATTATAAAATTTAATTTACAGTTTAAAGAATTATCTTATATATAATAAAATAATAGTATATGTATATTTATTGAATGTGGAAATAACAGTGTATGTATATATTGAATGCGGAAACAATGTTATAATTAAATATAATAGTACAATTAGAGTAATGTTATAATATTAGGATTTATTATTTATAGTAAAAAAGAGAAAAATAATAAGATGAGAGAGAGAAAGAGAATAGTCTGTGTATTATAAGCTTTACAAAGTTAATTATTTATAGGATTACAATTGTTGTGTGTTAACATATTTTAATATTTTTATATAAAAAAATAATTAACATTTCAAATAAATTTTAAAATTATATTCATTTATTTAAGTAAAAAATTTCATTTTACTCCTTATTTTATTGAAAATTTTAGTCATCTACTAGAAATGATTTTGAAACAATTTTTTCAAAAATTATTTTTAAGCTCAACAATACCAATAGTGCAATAACAATTCCGAGACTATTCATGTGATATCGATACTGTACCAATGTTAAAAGATTAAAAATACACATTAGTACGGATGCTGCTAGGAGGTTATTTGGCCTTAAAACTCAGCATGAGTAAAGTGTATGATAAGGTTACGACAAAAATTGCATTTTCTTTGACTTGTTATGACAAAAATGGGTTTCCCTCCTTTTTTGTATTGAAGTGCTAAAATGTTGTATTTGTTCGGTAACCTATTCGGTGATAATAAATGAAGTGACAGGCGAGAGGTTTGTCCTCGACCATGGACTTCGTCAGGGAGATCCATTAAGTCCTTACCTATTCTTAATTTGCAGTGAGGGATTACATGTACTAGTTACGAGGGCTACGGTGTTGGGCGCTTTTAAAGGAGTGAAGATATCTTTTGTTCGCAAATGACGACCTTATGTTTGACGAAGCTACGACATAAATGATGTCTCAAATAAAACAGACAATTTAGTATGCGAAGTGCATATCGTTTACTTTGAAAGCGAACGTCTCTCCAACAGAGAAACCTATGTTCAAGAACATATGGGCAAATACATGCCAAAGAAAAATCAAGTTACAAAATCTAGAAGTTCACGTTAAATTACATACCAACAAAGCAAAACTTGTTCACAAAGTGCATCGCAAATAACTCTTATTGTTTAAACTGTGTTGTGGAGACTGAAAATGGAGTGCATGTTGCGAGAGATTGTCAATTACCCCAATTGGCATGGCAAGATTTGGGGTATCATTGGCCCCTTCAACTATCTACTGTTGATTTTGCAGAATGGTTATCGTGATTGTTTAGACACAATGCACCAACAAGCATTCTGAGATTTTAGTTACCATATGGGACCTATGGCTTGCTCGAAACAAATGGTACTTATAGGGCTTAACAACACGGAAGGTGGAACTAGTTACCATTATACAAGCATAGTGCCTGGATTTCTCCTAAGCATATTTAAGTCTCCAAGATGAACAGATGACTTCGGAGTTAGATGGAAACTGCCCACTTTCCCGATTGTCAAGGTTAACTTTTGACGCTCGATTTATGGATAACAAAAAAGAAGCATTGCCAGGGGTCTTAATCAAAGGTAGCGAAGGCCAAATCTGGGGTACAAGTCGTAGATTAAGCAAAGGAATTACCTCGGTGTTTATGCCAGAAGCAATGGTTGTTGTGCATGTGATTCAATTTGCGACAAACATGGGTTTTCAAGAGATTATTGTGAAAGGTGACTCTCAGATGGTGATCGGCAAATTAATGTCATAGGAAATTAATATTTTTTGAAATTAGTGCACTCACATGAGACGCTCGACGGACGGGAGAAGCTCTTCTGTCATGTCAATTCCAACATACACAGAGATCGGGTAACTCAACAACACACCTCTGGCAGCAGGCATCGATCTTGACCAAATGGACTGCTTCTAGGTTGAGGAAGCGCCAAGTAGAGTGATCCAAGCCACAAAGGATATAAGATGGATTGATCCCTCGTAGGACTCAATTGTCATTGATATCATTCGTTTCCCAGGCTCAATTTAGTGCTTGTTTAACTCCATGTTGCAGGCACATCACCGAAGACTTTCTAGGATCAGCAGAAGAAGAAAGGCCAACCACTGTTGTTTTACTTGTTGGATATTTAGGTTTAGTTTTTTCATTTATTGCATTTGTTGTTTACAGCTGTGACCACCATGAATAGGAGGTGTTTCTTGTAACACCTTTAATTCCTATACATACCCAAACACAAGTCAAAGATGTTATATAATTTTACATGCATTTTATGGTTAAAAACTCAGTACAAATTTAAACTTTTAAAACTCATCCAAATTTAATTACTTAAATAAAATAATATAATCATGTAAAACCGTACTATAATATATAAACATAAAATCAATAATAGATTCATGCATCAAATAAACAGTTCTATACTTTTTCATATCATAAAATAAATTATTTAATTTAAAATATTTTTATACTCTAATAAAATATAAGGTTTATCTAAAGCACAGAACTTAAATTCATATTTATATCTTAGACATTTCTTAATCGTATACATGACATCTTGTAAATTTAAAATAGTAGGATGTTATTATTAATACATGTAATTAGTCTTTGATGATTGATGCCACACTTAACTCCTTATTGATTTGTTGTTTACAGCTGTGCCCACCATGAATAGGAGGCGTTTCTTGTAACACCTTTAATTACCCAAACATGAGTTAAATATGTCATATAGTTTTACATAAATTCTATCGCTACAAACTAATACAAAGTTTAATTTTTAAAATTTATCCAAATTTAATCACTTAAATAAAATAATATAATCATGTAAAATCATCGTATAATAGTTAAACGTCAAATCAATAATGGATTCATGCATCAAATAAACAGTTATATACTTTTTCATAACATAAAATAAATTGTTTAATTTAAAATATTTCTATACTCTAATAAAATATAAGCTTTATCTAAAACACGAAACTTAAATTCATATTTATATCTATAATGACATATCTTAGACATTTCTTAATCGTATACAAGCTATCAAGTAAATTTAAAATAGTAGGATGTCATTACTGATACATATAATTAGTCGATAATTGATGCCAAACTTAGCTCCTTACTTTACTTGCTCTTCTTTAACTACACGTAAAAATCATCTCAACCTAAATATAAACTTAGTGAGACATTATAAATAAACTAATGTGATATAAAACATAAAACAACTTAAAAATATCATAACAATCTAAAATATTAAGCTTGTATTCAAATTAAATCATTAAATATCAAAACCGGTTTATTCGAACCTTTTTTTTCTCATCAAAAACTTGAAAATCATCTCATGATTTTGTCAAAACCGTGATAAACAATATCATACATAATAATCATATCATATTCTTTTTCATTCATATACATTTCAGAATTTTTCATATTTCATTTTCATCTTTCTCATTTACATTTCTTTTCACATTTCATTTTCATAATCAGTACTCCCACAGTTCAGAATTCATTCATTCTCATATTCAGAATTCACTTACAGGTTCATAACTTATTTTTAGATTCATAAATTAATTTCAAATTTATAGTTTATTTTCAAATTCATAGCCCAGTGCATATTTACAAGAATGCAAGGTACGTGAGTAAGACAATCAGACGAGTGTGCATAATAAGCACTTCACGGTGCTAATCATAACTTATCATAAGATGCACTCCAAGTGTAACCATATTGTTTGCACCAAACGTTGTCATACATAATGTACACGAATGTACCAGATCATAATCACTTCACCTCATGGCATGCCAATTGTACATACGACTCTCAATGCAACATACAATGAGATTTTCCATTAATTATTATATGTTATAGAATTATCAAAGATATCAATATCTCAACATATCCAACTTTTCATATCATAACATGATGGACAGTTCGTACCCTAAACCATACATGATTTTTAAACCTCTTAAAGCAACGACCATATTTTTATATGAGGGTTTCAAAACTCTCTAGTAATTTCGAAATCACTATGTAAACAATCATTTAATATGTGCATTTAATGATTCAAACGGCTCAAAACTTCCCCTAACAACCTCAAACAACTAAAAATCAATGGAAACTTATAAAAATAAAAAGGATCTTCAAACAACCAAGAAAATACAAGAAAATTATTTCAACAATCAAAGAACAAAATGTATCGAAAAAGGTTAGAACAAGTTTGATAATTTATTAAAATTCTTAGTGTGAAAACTAATATAGTGGATGTAAGTTTCGTTGAGAAAGTTGAATTACTATAAAATAACTTGTGTCATTTTCTAATTTATTTCCAACAAATCTTTTTCTTATCAATTCACTCCCTCTTGTCCACATTCATAGACCGATTCACTCATCATTAAGTCTAAAATTTAAATATCCAATTAAATACCTAATAATTAAAATAAACTCAAATTAATTGTAATGTATACTTAATTAAATAATTAATAATGATTTTTTCTCGATTCAATAATTTTTGTATAATCTTGCTCTAATTACGTAAAATTGTAATAAGTATAATCTTAAAATTTACGTAGACTTTATTTGATATATTTTTTTTTTTTATTAATTTAATAACTATTTATTAATTATTGATCTAAAAACATTAAATTAATCTCTAAATCATTTTAAATAAAATTTTAATTGATAGTAAAATTTATAATTCTAAAAAATATTTTTTTCATCAAATAAATCACATCGTAAACTTTTTAAACTTGATCAATACGAAAAAAAATCACAAACTTTAACATGTCTTATAGGTCAGGTTTAAGTTAAATTATCATCACTATATAATAATTGAATTCGTATGGAATTGAACCTATATAATAAAATTGAAAAGCAAAAAGACATAATTTTTATAAGAATATATCAATAATCATATTTCTAACATATTAGAGTTATACCCAAGTTCAACCCGAATTGACTCGAAGATTCAAAGTTTATTCGTCTCGAACATCGATCGATTTAACATTGAACCCACCCAAAAATGAATTGCTCTGATATTGACCTGAATTGAAAATCAACCTATCATATTAATTTAACTTGATTTACTGTAGACTCAAATTAAATTGAAATCAGACTCAATTAGAGATGGCAAAAAAACCCGAACCCAACGGAGAAAATCGAAAACCGAATTAAACGGGTCGGGTTCGGGATGATAAACGGGGATGGGAAACCGTTTATGCTAAACGGGGACGAGAACGGATTTGATAATCCTCTCCCCCATTACCCGATTACCCGGCCCGATAAATATTAAAAATAATTATTATATATATATAATATTAATAAATTTAATTTAATTTAATATATATATATATATAATATTTATATATTTAATTTAAATATATATATCCGGCCCGATACCCGTTTAAATAATAATTTATGGTAAACGGGGATACCCGTTTTCCCGTGATTTTCCCCGATTACCCGATGAGGATCCCCGTTTAAATTCCCGCGATTTTTTAAGCGGGAATGAGTACGAGTTTTTTAAACGAGGACGGAGGCGGGGGACCAATACCCGGCCCGAACCCGGCCCGTTGCCATCCCTAGACTCAATCCAATCCAAATCAACATAAACAGAATGTGAACCGACCTAAATCTAATCTAAACAGCCCGTTTGGTATTCCCCAGTTATCGATAGTGCTTCACCCAGATTCATATGATAGGAAGGCAGGTGGTCCCTCTGGCCGCTGCATCGCGCTCGGTTCATATTGAACAAAATAGAATAAACAAAGGGAAGAGAAGGGTTGCGTGATATATTAAACAAAGAAATAACGAGTCAATATGAAACGAAAAGAGGTCCGATAATAACATATTTAGAAATATTTTTTTAGGGTAATTATATATATATTGATAGTATGATTTTTTTTAAATGATATGAGTAAAAAAAAGTTCATATAAACACCGTTTATAAAATATATAATTAATCGAATAAAATTTAAATTTTAAGATAAACTTTTAAAATAAACATCATCAGTAAAATAAATAATTAAATCGAAGAAAATTCGATTGAAAATCAGTGTGACACGTTTAACTACAAAAACCGCGTGATGGGATTGCATTGTGTCGGCAAGCAAAGCTTTTCCAACTCAAGAAACAAAGACAGAGTCAACGGCTTTTTGCTTCAATTTAAAGAAGAATAACATCAAATGAAAATCAATTACAGTTACAATCAAATGCTAACCATGACCGTAGAGGGTCATCAAAATACAATACCATGACATAACCAAAAAAATTAATAACACCTAAAAGAGAAAAGGTCAGTAAAACAACGATGCTCTGTACTTTCATGTCAGCATGAGATCACTCCCTACAAGCTTCGGTCGCAGGCAGACCCGGACTTCGTGTTCTTCCGGCACCACGGGCAGTTTTGGAACCATGATCTCGAGCACGGAACCCGGGCCATCATGATATGCTTCGATGTTAGCATCTTCGGGGATTCGAGTCGACAGCGGTATTTCTCTAACGAATTCCCCAGGAGGGCAATGCTCGGAGGCCTGATCTGTGAGCTTGAAAGTTCTGTCGTGTCTCTTGATGAAAGGCGCCCGAGACGTGCTCACACATGATACCTTAATGATGCCATGACTGAGAGTATTCCTCCATGAAACCTTGACCCTTTGAAGATCAACAAAAGGCATGCTTATAATGATCAAATAACTTGATTCGTCTTCGTAGATGGTCTTTGCAGCTGTAACAGGACCATAAACATTCTTCATTACACCACTGAATTCGTTTAACCAGTGTGGTTCATTGGGGTGAACTTCCGTATCCGGAATGGCAGCCAAATAGTTATCGTCTTCGTTTCCCCGTGGGAAAAAGTCTTTCCTCTTTTTGTTGCTCATAAGTGATAAGTCCATCCCGTTGATCCCTTCGCCATTGCTGTGGCTAGATGGCTGAGTAGACAGATTGAGTCCGGAACCATTTAACAGCTTCTTGGACTGAGAATTCGAAACACTTTTTATCACTGCTCGTTCGAGCTCGAAATCATTAATTGGAAGGTTTCTCCATGAACTGAAATCACTAGCATCAGGTGGAATTGAGAAATTCAAGTCCCTTCCCGTAAGCTCCATCCATCTTTTCTGTTCTTCCTCGTCGATAGCCATGAGATTCGGTGACGGAACAACCTCGATCCCGTGGACACATTGAGGGTTCGACAATCCTCTGTAATGCTTCCGCTGCATCCGGTGTGAACGGACGAAACCCTTATCGACGCTGAATGGAAACGGCCGCTCCCCTTGGCGAGAATGTCCATTCATGTAACTTCTAAGCTGCATTTTACCCAATGCATTATCGGGCCTCTCCTTGAAAACCCACATATACATATTCTCCATATCATGTTGAACCATGAAAACATCCAAATTGAGATCGGATTTACCGATACCGGAAACAACTCCATTCGCATCACGAGTTATCTTGGCTTTCGATTTGTCGATCACGACAGGTTTGAAGTAAAAACTAAAGAAAAACCAAGCACCCCATATACTATCAACCCTTTTGGAACATCTGCGTCCAGTTTTGGGGGCTGTTAGGCAGCACTCGGTATCATAAGCTTGTGAATTAAGCCCAACATCTAAAATATCACAGTGGTCAGAGTTCCATGGCAGCTGAGGAGGGCTAGGCTCAGCAGAGAGAGGCAAATTGATATCAGGTGGACGAGAAAGAACAATTTGTCTGCTCATTTCTAAATCCAATTCTTCATGGGAAGAAGCACTTGAATCCATTGATAAGAGAGTTGAAGGGTGATGATTCTCCATTGACAAGGCTGCCACTATATTATAATCTCCCACTTCATATTATTGGTGACGGTGGATTGATTTTTTCCATTTCCACACTAAAAAAATTTGAAGAATTCAATAAAATGACAAATCTTATGAACACATTCTTCAAAACCCAGAATTCATCGATCAGAAAACTAAACAATGCTACCACAGAAAGAGCATTAGAAAAAAGAAGACTACACTTTTCCCTTTCTTAATAGATCAACGAAAAGAAAACAATATAGTAATGAAAAAAAGACTACCTAAAAAGTAAAAAAAAAAAAAGGAAAATCTCAAGAGAAATTTCAAACCAAAGCTGCTAAAGAAAGACAATAATGTCAAAACCCAGCCCCAAAATCCCTGGAAATCCTCCAAACACATCAAAAAAACGAAAACCCAAATCTTTAAATTTCTTAATATGAATGGATAAGAGAGAATTTCAAGAGAAATGAAGGGAAAGAAGATAACTTTGAACATACGCATATATAAACGGAGGAAATATTTGTAGAGGAGAAAAGAAGGGATCTTTAAACAGTACCTTATGGGATAAGCATCGATGAATGGATATGCAGATAGAGCTCCATGAGCGATAATGATGCTTATCTCCACCAAATTATCAACAACAGATACCCAACCATTTTCCCTTTTACGCTTAACAAGAGAGACACGAACGTAACGCACCGACTCGCTGTAGAGTAGAGACTAGAGAGGGGTATCTTTGGTAAAAGCCTACACTAGATAAAACCGATTGAACTCGCCGTTACTTAACGGTGACGATGCACTTTTTCAATTATATTCCGGTTTAAACAAAATAAATTTCAGGATTTATATTAATTTTGATTTTAGTTTCAATTTAAATATAAGATATTAATATATAAATAATTAGAGTTTTTTTTATAACCACCTATATCTAATCTATTAATCGATTAATCTAAATCAGGTACTGTAAAGATAAAAATAATCTTCTCAACTTAGAATTGGATGTAGCCCAATTGTATTTTAATTCTCAAAAGATTGGCCTCCACAATTGGATGGTGTCCAACTGTATTTTAATTGTTAAAAGAGTGGACAATTGACAAGTTGTTAGATTGGTTCACAAATAAAATTACGTGTCTTGTGAACATCATGGATGATTACCCTTACGGTTTATTGATGATTTAGACGAGTCTTTGTAACACAATGCTATTTTCATTAATAATATACGTTTTCTCTTCGAAGATTTTGAGTCAATCATATGACTTCACTCTATCCAACGATCTCGATCCTCAGTCCTAAAGGTCATGTTATGACAAACATGTAATTTATTATATGCTTATATTTTGATTAGATGTTCGAGATTAAAGCTAATTTAGTAGGGAAACATCCCTATTATGTGTAGCACATATTAATAACCGCACCAACTAAATCTAAGTTCGTTACACTTTATCGACATCTATTTTAACATATGAATAACAAAATCATAGATACATAGTCAAAATCAAATGGGTTGGTTGGAACACCCATACATCCTTGCTGTGCTCCAAGTTGATTCACATGTGTATTTACCATATTCAGTTGCTTTTGTTGACAATAAACTATTAAAAATTAAGGATTTGTTCGTTTCACAGAAAACAATCATAGAAATGGAATTATATTTCCTGAAAAATATTTTTTAGAAATTATTTTACGATGTTTGGATATGTTGTATAATTCATTTTCTACTGGTTGGTAATTTTTTTAATAATTCTTTATTATAAACATTAAATACAACGAATAATATTATTTATTAACAAAATAATAATAATATTTTTAAAATATTAGAATAATTTATTTAATATTATTTATGTCAATATTATTATTAAAATAGCATATCCATAATTTTATAAATAAAAATATTATGATTATTATATTTTATTAAAATAAAAGTATTGTAAATTATATTAATTATTTATTAAAATAATAATATTATTAAAATATTAAAAATTATAATATTAAAATAAGAATATTATATTATATTTTAAAAAGTATATATTCAATATTCAATAATTCAATAATATTATTTTATGAAATTAATTAATAATATTAATTTTAATATTAATTTATTATATATTATTAAAATAAAAGTATAATATTATATATTATAATAATATAATTATAACAATAAATAAATATTATATTATATTATATTATCAAAATTATCAATAAATAATAATTTAATAATTAATATTTTCATTAAAATGATATTAAAATAATTTATTAATATTATGTATATAAAATAATAATATTTTGAGTGTTCATGTTTTGAACTAAAAAGTTCGTAAAATGACTTATGAAAAATCAAATGGTAAGTCATTTTTCAGAAGATGCAAAGTAAATTTAATTGACCAGGAAAATGAATTATATTGATCATCTATTTTTCACCAACCAAACACTAAAAAAATCGAAAAATCAAGGAAACAAAAGGACCCTAAATGTACCTTACTTTCTAAGAAACCAATGCTATTTTTTCACCAAGCTAAACCTTTTTTCGTCAAATTGTTGGTGCAACTCATTGATTTTTTATAAGAGTAAATAACGGTCATGCAATTACGTCTTATTTTAAGTAAACTCGTCTCAAAAGATGTTGAGATCATGTGCTATTTTTTTAGAGAAAATATATTTTTTCTAAAATATTATTATCAATTGCTATTAATGCTAACCCTTTAAGTTTTTCTTGTGACATCGTAAAACACATATGGGTATTCTACAATTTTAATTTGAAACAATTTCTTTCTGCATATGAAATTGTCACATGAATAGTTATTATAAGAGTAAATTACATGTTTACTCACTGAATTTTACTCTCTTTTTTATTTCATTCATCGTACTTTTAATTTTTTTAATTTACTCATTAAACTTTAGGCATTAAATTTTTTTATCACTCTGTCGTTTATTTTATAATGACATTATGATGTGGCATAGTTAAATAATATTTTAATGTTAAAATATATGTAAGAAAAAAGTTTTTCCCTTCCCCTTCATTTTCTCCTCTTTCTTTCTTTTTTCTTCTTTCTTTTCTTCCTTTTTCTCTTCATTTCTCTCCTCAACTTATATGAACCCAGATTTTGACCACCACGCCCATCATCGTTCTGACCATCGCCAGTTGTGACCATCGTTGGCCAAACGAAAAGAAGAAAAATGGATAAAAAAGGAATAAATCACAGAATAAAGGGGCTATCGAAGACCCCAATACAATCCCAAATAAACTTCATTATCTTCACATTAACCTCATTCACTCAAATGTCGAAAATACTTTCAAAAACTTGTAAAGCATAGCGGATGAGATGGGAAACTTCCCTGCTCAAATTCGATAATGAAATGACTATGGGTTTGATGATCGATCAATGTTATCTCTAAAATCTTATATGTTACAAGTTACCCATGTATCATACAATAAACCCAAGAAAAGGAAAGCAATCCACTATGCATTAAGTGAAACAAACAAAAAAAACAACCCATCATTTTATCATCTTGAACAGTGGAGGGAAAATGCCCAGGTTATTGATGATGACACCCTTCATCCAAATCCCACCATGCATAGAGCTCTTTCAAGATCAGCCCATCTCAATTTGAATTTCTTGTTGAAGTGGTCAACTGTTTGAATCTATTTTCACCATGGATGGAGCTCTCCAACACCCATGTTTGGCTAGAGATAATCACTGATGTTTGGGGGTTACCTTCTAGATCCAGATGGTGAAGAGATTGCCAATGACAAGGGGACTAACATACTTCCATTTAGGACCAATCTGACGATGAACGGAGGAGATCGGAGAGTGGGTAGTCGGAAAGATGCTTTGTCGGTTGCTGCTCTCCCCAAAGCTTCACTTCTCTGTTTTAGAGAAATGAGAACTATGAAGATAAGAGTTAAAAATATTAATAAAAAAATAATAAAATATTAATGAATGCATACGTGGTAGTAAAAAATTAATAAAAATTGCCACTTTATCACTAAGTTAAAAATAAAACGGTGAAGTACAAAAAAAATTCAATATCTAAAGTTTAGTGTGTAAGTTGAAAAAATTGAAAGTCCAATGAGTGAAATAAGAGAGAGTAAAGTTCAGTGAGTAAGCGTATAATTTACCCTTATTAAAATTCTATATGCAATAATAGCATTAAGAAAAATATTATCTTTAAAAAATTTTAAAATCTCCAATGATCCCATTTTTACGGCAAGCAAGAACTCTCTTAATAACCGTAACTCAACATACAATTCATTTCCATTAACATCACATTTTCCTTTATTCTTAAGGATAGATTTAAATAAGAACAATGAGACTTTAGACTCGCGTTATCTAGTGACTGTAACTTATGAGAAGTAAATAAAAAAAAATCATATTCTTGATATTGTTCAAATCTCTTATTAAGAGAGTAAAATTTAGCTGATAGTTGATATGAGTAAAATGACAAATAAGGGGATACATTTAGTTGTAAAGTACATATATGTTTTATAATACTTTAGTCTTAGTTGGGGTGAAATTATTCAGATAAAATGCTTTTGACAAAGAATTAAAATTTCCTTAAGAAAATTAATGAATATTTTTGAAAATTTTGAATATATTTTTAAAATTTAATATTTACAAATTGAAATATTTATACATACTATTAACATTGTATAAAATATCAACACTACAAATATATAAGGATATGATCATCAAGTGGATTATGATGGAGGTTATTTCATTAGATTAGGTTTTATGACAATGATGTAATTATGGAAATAATATATCAAATATGTCATTTAACATCTTATTTTGAAATCAACTCTCCCAAACCGTTGGGTTTTTCAATGTTTTCATTTTCAACTTATTTTGGACAATCAACTCTTTCAAAAGGTGTTTACAAAACACTAAAAATAGGGGGTTTGACTATCAATTAGCTATTTATGCTCAAATAAGCTAAAAGCTCTTCAAAAAGTTGTTTACCAAACACCCCCAATAGCTTGATCAACAATATATAAGAAGTAGTTAACTCTAAATGAAATTAGGATTAATATAAACAATAATTTTTTCAATTAAAAATCATGATTTTAGTAGGATTT